GAATCATTAATTTCAACTAGCTCTGTACCTGTTCCGAATTTGTCAGATCATAATGTAGTCAGATGTGACTTCAACATCACACGGCCTAAGAATTTTCAAAAGACTGTCAAATATAGAGACTTTAAACATTGTTGTAAAGATCAGTTTTTGGTGGATTTGTATAAAATTCCCTGGGATGATATATATTACATCAGTAACTTAGAGGATAAAGCTACGTTTTTTTCTAATCATATTTTGGATTTGTTTGATGTCCATGCTCCTGTTATTTCATCACGTATTACTAAACCTTATGCTCCATGGCTCACAGGTGGCATAAAATTTTTGATCTCCGAGAGAAATAAAGCCTTTAGAAAATATCAGATTTTAAAAAGTCCAGCTAGTCTCGAATATTACCAGAAATTAAGAAATGATGTCATTTCCGCTATTAGGCGGGAGAAAGCAGCATATCTAAGCTTCAATGAACAACTAAATAGTAACAAGCATCTCTGGAAAGCTGTACATTCATTGAAACTCAAAACTAATGTAGATAGATCTTTACCTACACAGTTGAAGAATGCCGATGAAGTAAACAATTATTTTTCTTCCGTTTTCACGCCTTCGGGCAATTGCAAGGATCTAGTTGATAAATTTAATAGTACCAAAATTAATGAAAGTGCTAGATTTGAATTTAGTTTTGCTACCCCACAAAATGTGCTAGACATTATTCTGTCCCTAAAATCTAATGCAGCAGGTTCGGATGGTATAACAGTCTCAATGCTGAAGCTTTGCTTGCCTCGAGTATTACTACCCCTGACGCATTTATTGAACTGTTGCCTGGAGGCTGGGTATTTCCCTGATGCTTGGAAACTATCTCTTGTCAAACCCTTGCCTAAATGTAAAAATCCAAAATGTCTCTCAGACTTAAGACCTATAACTTTGATTCCTGTTATATCGAAGATATTGGAGAAATTGATTAAACATCAGGTTTATCATTATTTCTCTAATAATGATTTCTTTCCCAAGTGTCAATCTGGTTTCCGCAGTGGTTTTAGTACAACTTCAGCTTTAGCAAGGGTTTTAGATGACATCATTGCTTCGCTTGATAAGGGAGATGCTTCAGCACTTGTATCATTAGATTATTCTAAGGCGTTCGATAAAATAGATCATGAGCGTTTATGTGCTAAATTGAAGTTTTTTGGTTTTTCAGACATACCTCTAATGTTTTTTATAACATATCTTTCAAATCGTAAACAAGTAGTAGAGATAGACAACACTATATCTAGTCCGATTGATATAACATCAGGTGTCCCTCAGGGTTCAGTTTTAGGGCCCTTGTTGTACTTAATTTATACTACAGACTTGGGTAGCTCTGTGAAAAACTCTTCTGTGATGTGCTATGCCGATGATACACAGATATATAAAAGCTTTAATAGTAACACTTTGCATACTTCAATCAATGAGCTTAATGATGATTTGGAGGCAATAGTAGGATACTCAAATGGTAATAATCTTAAGCTCAATAAGGATAAGTGCTCAGTGATGCTTTTTTGTCCTGCTGTCAAACGTAACACTATATTATATTCTCTTGATGTAAAAATTGACAAGGAGCGTCTAGCTGTCGTAAATACTACAAAAAATTTAGGGTTGATTATTGATTATACTTTACGGTTTAAGGAGCATGTTTCGTCTATCTTAAAAAAATGTTATGCAACGTTGAAGTGTTTTTATGTCAATTGCTCTATTTTGAATTTTAAAGTTAGAAAAAAGTTATGTGAGGCTATTATATTTCCAAGCTTATTTTACTGTAGCACTGTGTTCTATCATTGTCTTGATTCTATCACAAAAGCAAGACTCCAAAAACTCCAAAATACTTGTTGTCGATTTGTATTTAATCTCAAGAAGTATGATCATGTTTCCTTAAAGAGATTTCAGCTTGGTTGGATGTGTATAGAAAATGCTTGCAAGTACCATATAGCAGTGTTTACACATAAGATCATATCTTCTAGATCCCCCTTGTATCTTTATGAGAAATTTGTTTCCAGACGAAATAATTCAGACATTGATTTCAGACACAAAAAAGACTAGAGATCCCTATGTATAAAACAACTTTATTTCGTAGTTCATACACTTACAATGCTATCCTGATTTATAACGAATTAGATGACAATATAAAGGATTGGCCAGTAAACAGATTTCGTAAGCATGTGAAACAGATTTATTTGTAATTGTAGTAATTGTGGAAAAGTTTTTTTGCTCTGTGCTTGGGATCGTTGTCGTAGAGGCATGTTTTCTTCTGCGTGAGGTAGCATGGTATCAGTTAATATTTCAAAGTATTGGTACCGGTCCATAATTCCTTCAATTTTAACGATGGGTCCCATTTGAAGACCACAGAGCACCCCATACTTTAACCTTGCCGCCTCCGTGTGTGTTTGTGCCCAAAGTGAACTTAGGATCAAATAGCTGTTTTTAGGACGTTTTACCCATAAAATGCCATGCGATGAAATAAATTAAATTTACTTTCATCGGAACATAATACAGAATTCCTTGCTTCTGAACAGTTCAAATGATCGTAAGCAAATTGAAGATGGGGGGTCCGATTTTTATTTGAAATAAAGGGTTTTTCAGATGGTCTCCTTGCTGGTAAATCACTCTCCCTTAAACGTCTTCAAACATTGTGGACACCAATATTTACTTCTACAAGTTGAGCTTTTATGTCAACAACAGTAGTAAGTGGATTTTTTTCGCGATCTACCAGTCGTATCGAGCCTGACCGATATTTTAAAATAGTCAATTCATTTATTTGCAAATTCAATGTAATTCCTCTGGCCATGTTTTTGAACTAAACTTTACCAAATACACTCAAAAATAACACCGATTCTAATCAACGACTAGATATACTAAGTGACATATAAATCCGAACACCCAGTTTAAATGGTTTTATTTTAATAAAATTTTGTATAAGTACTTAATGAAGCATAATAAGTAAATGATAAAAATTTCAAAATGATTTCACTGCTTTAAAGTCTTTTCACCCTTAAATAATGTGTGGATGCACCCTGATGTGCTATGCATTCTCCAACGCGCCTAGGCATGCTTTGTCCTCCTGTGGTATCTCATGCCAGGCAACCACCAACTCCTCTCGAAGTGCTTCTAGAGTCTGAGGAGGACGTTGCAAATTGAGCAATCTCCTACCCATCATATCCCACACGTGCTCAATTGGGGATAAGTCGGGTGATCTTGGTGGCCATGGTAACAATGTGACATCATTATGTTGAAAGAAGTCTATTGTGACTCTTGCAACATGTGGTCGGGCATTATCTTGTTGGAAAGTTGGATCTGCCAGGGTGTCAAGATAGGGTAAAAGATGGGGTTCTAGAACTTCGTGGATATAACGCTGCGCGTTCATGTTACCTCTGATGAAGATTAAAGGTGACCTGGAACCATAAGCTATAGCACCCCAAACCATAACTCCAACAGTGTGATGAACGTGTCTTTCAACAAAAAACTGTGGATTCCTCCTTTCACCACGTCGCCTGCTAACCCTGGCACGACCATCGTGCATGCCTAAACAAAATCGAGACTCGTCACTAAAGACAATACTGTTCCATTCCTGATCCCAGAGTGACCGTTGTCTGCACCACTCAAAGCGATTACGTCGGTGTTCTCGAGTTAAAGGGAGGACCTAGTGTGACCGGTATGAAAACAAGCCAAAACTTCTCATTCGTCGGTAAACACTTCGCGTGCCAATAGGTCTTCCGTGTTCTGCAAACTATTCATTTGCAATGGACCTGGTAGTGGAGAAACGGTCCCTTAAGGCCAATAATCTTAGGCGGCGATCTTCACGGTCTGTTGCTCTACGGCGGCGTCCAGTGCCCCTTGCTCTTTGCGTAAGGCCTTCTCGAAGCCATGCCTGACAACACCTAACCACAGTGTCTACACTTCTTTGCCCGAAAAGAAAGTCCAGCTTCCCACTATACGGCCCCTATCAAACTCACTAAGTTGACGAAATCGTACAGGTCTCCGTACTCTAGGCATCGTAACCGATCGTAAAGGATGTCAAGAACCAAAATCCGCCAACGTTGATTCTTTACTGCGGCTGCGTTAGTGAATTAAAAAAAAGCAGTATAAAAACCGGAATGTCCAACTGATAAGGCTGAACATTTTTTCACTTGTTATTTACAGTAAGATAAATACATTCACCAACTTTTATTAAAATAAAACCATTTAAACTGGGTGTTCGGATTTATATGTCACTTAGTATATAAACTAAATATTTACAAAATGTTTCTCTACGTTTGCTCGTTGAACAAAGAACCGACCATATTATATTGAAAAAAAGAGAATGTATACAAAGATAAGCATTTCATTATCTTGAGGTAGTCATACATAAAAAACTTTAGTGTAAGTTTTGGGTCAGAGTAAATCTTTCTCGACTTTTGCTCGGTACTGTATATCGAACGCCATTAATGACCTCAACTCAATGAAAATTGATAAAATGTATCAGTACCAGCTCTTAAGTCTGACTCATATAGCATTCTTGATTCAAAAACACCGTCATATTTAGTAACCAACTTCATACGAAGATGAAATACAAGTATGCGGAGAGGTTTCCTTTAAGAAATCATCCGACCCACGGATGTTTGTAAATTTAGTTATTAGACTCCGTGACACAGGATATTTAAAAGAGTAACGAGGAGGTCACGCTGGAAGAAACCAGAATTTTATTTTTGAAGCTTGATAATATGATGAATGCAGACAATTTTGAACAGTTTTTGTGACACTGTATCTATCCATTTAACTTGATAATTGATTTTTTTAAATAATTTATAATAATGTAAGCTGACTCTCTCATTATTTAACTTTTGTATAGGTGATTTTTGATATATCCTTCTTTTAACGAGTCCTGCAAGCAGTTAAAATAAATGACTCAACTTTGGAAACACCCTGTATATAAACATACACCTTTAACCGTAAATTTCTCGCAACCTGCTGACTATGCGATAAATTTTTAAAAAGATAAAATGATGGAGAATTCAATTTCCTGCAAAATTGTTATCATTTGTTTTTTCCATTGGATCGATAGTTCCATAGATAATCGATCAAACGCGTCTGTCAAAATCGCGGCAAAGACGCATTCATCATGAATCTAAGTTATAATTAGAAACCTCTTTTATAATCTCTTCGTCAGACATTTCCTGAAAAACATTTTCCTCTTTATCCATTCCACGACACCAGATTTCCAAATCTTCCGGACTTATCTGTGTTTCAGTAGCGACTTGTTCCATAACTTCCGAAGTTACACTGATTTGTGGAACGTTGCTAGGAGTGGTGACTATATCTGGCCATAACCTTTTCCAAGATGATTTAATAGTTGATGAAGGTAACGCATTCCACGACTGACAAAGAACAAAAACCAAGCCTTTCATATTAAATTTTTTTAAAGTTTTTTTTATTGGTTGGTCTTTTGATACGGCTCTCAGAAGTAGGTTTTTCTTATAGTCTTGCTTGACAAACTGAATGATATTCTGGTCCATTGGTTGAATCAGTGCAGTGCAATTTGGCGGAAGAAACATCGCGCAGTGATGCATTTATCCTCAGTTCTTAGTTCTTCTTCAGACGGATGACCGGGAGCATTATCAAGAAGCAACAACGCTTTTTGAGGAAAATTATGATCTTTTAACCATTTTCTAACTTCAGGTACGAAGCATTCATCAAACCACTTTTTAAAAAGCTCTTTTGTCATCCGTGCATTTTTTGTCCGTAATAGTGTACAGGTAAATCAATGTTTTTGAATGCCCGTGGTTTATTAGATTTTCCAATGACCATCATCTTAAGCGCGTGTGTGCCCGCAGCGTTAGCACATGGTAGTATGGTTACACGCTCTTCACTTACTCTTCGTCCAGGTACGGATTTTTCGTTACAAGAAACGAAAGTTTTGTTAGGCATCATACGCCAAATCTTAATTTAAAGTGCTCTATGCAGGTGGCATCGTTAGAAAGTTTCTCTTCTGTAATAGTCATTAAACGTATGCCATGACGACTTTTAAAACGTTCTAGCCATCCTTTGCTGGCCACAAAATCATCTTTTTTTGTTATTTCCCTATAAAAAAACTTAGCTTTCATGGCCAACATGGGTCCTGAAATTGATGCATGCCTATTTATTTCCTGAAGAAACCACATGTACAAAGCTTTTTCCACTTCTGGATGTTCACCTTTCTTGAGTGTCTGTCTTTTGCCTGGCCCGCAGTCAGTAGTTGACACGAACGTGGTTTCGTTTAATGTCATAAATTGTAGATCGGCCTACGCCATATTCACTTGCTAAACTGCTGAAAGTTTCATTGCGATGTAAGCGGTCTAAAATATCACAGTTTTCTTTAATTGTCAATGTTTTGTACTTTCGCTTCTGAGTTTGTGATGGCATTACTAGGTGCTATACTTAATACACAATGAATAAATAGTAAACAATGAACGCACGCTAGGCCGTACCGCTATCACAAGTAGTCAAATTCAAACTAAGTAAAGCAATGCTTACGCGTCGAGCACGATAGCGGTGGCGCGTACAAGTTGTAACCTGTTCAAACCTGCGTGATCTACATTAGCGAAGATTATCAAATAGGTATGTATGTAATATTCAAAGACATGTCGGATTACAGGGGGCGCCGGATTAGACAGGTGCCGGATTATCAGTGGTCCACTGTATATTGATTAATAAAAAACACACATGTGCTCCACTACTGGAGTGCGAGTAATAAAAAAAAGAAAGGATGTTATAAATCTTAAATAAAACCTGACAAAATTATTTTTCGAGATAACCCCGCGAAACGTCTACCATGGTATACGCCCGAAGTATTTACAGATATTTTGTGCCTAAATATTAAACTTATCGGTACTCCTTATTTGTCAGGAGCGGCCGGGATGTCCTCAACTCTACTCAAAAAGTGGCCAGGGGCTACTTGCCTCGTTGCCAAAAATTATGGTAGTAAAAAAAACCCTTGAGAGAGAAACACTGTCTAAAAATCTACTCTACTCTCTGTCTGAGATAAAACTACTCATTGAAAACAATCGCACTTGAAACAAAACCATGTACATTTTTTGTACAAGAAAAGTAAAGTAAGGCAAAAAAAAGAAAAAAATGTACTAAACTAATGTACCCTTGTTCTAAAAAGTTATGGCAGCTCAAAAATCAAGATCATGATCAATGTAATAGAAGGTGTCATATTTGAATACGTAAAATGTCCAATAAAATCAAGAAGTCTCTAAGAACTTCAATAAGCAATAATAAATGTATAAAGATGTATGAAATTGTTAATTAAAATGATATTTTACCTGTTCATATCAGGTTTTTTTCAAGGGGATGACTTCCACCAATTTGCAAAACTGCAACAAGATGCAACTAACTGGACGAGAAAGGATGATGATTCTCTTCTGTTTCTGTTGACTAAAAGAAAGCAGATATTGAACGAACGTCATCAGGATACGCCCTAAGGCACGTGGTCCAAAGGTATATAAAAAAGAACTTACCCCTGAGCGTCAAAATCCCATTTAATAAAAAAATGGAAGACGTAGCACCCAAACCAAAATGACTAAACTTAAGTTACACAAAAAAAAGCGTGCTAGTCCATGAATTGGTGCTTGGGGCCTAATATCCCAGAGTCTGGAAAATGACGAAACGACCCCTGCACCACGACCTCAACGGAAACAGAAAAGCGAATCACGCAGAACACGTAACGTTCTAGAAGAAGGTATCTTGAGTGGCCTTGAAGAAGATATGTTTTATAGGAAACCAACTCACCGAGAAAAACTACACAGTTTTTTGCTGATCGTCAACACCATACTGAATCGCTGAGAAAGAAAGATATAATACGAGTGAAATTATACAATCAATAAACTATTAAATTTGCCAAAAGAAAATCATTGAAAACGGTTTGGCCTAGGAACGGGCACTCTACTATCGATGAAGAGAAATTCAAATTACACATAAGTGATAAATAGTAAAAAGAAGGTTACGTGATTTTGGCACGTGACACTATTAATGTAATTAAACTGCAAAATATCCGGGAAACAAGTCATCAGCAGCCATCTAAAGGAAAATTCGTTGCCGTGTCTAAAGCAAATATCGAAAATCGGCAAAAAATGGCGCAGCAAGCCATGGCAAGCGCTCGACTGCAGACGAAACAATGAAACGTCCAAGGCGGAGCAAAACAAATGAAGGTAAACACGGCCAACGTAGACTGAGCGGCATTTTTATTTTGGATCGTAAATCTGGAGCGTTGGTCTATGTCGAAGGAACACAATGTAGATTGGTTGATATTGGAAAATCAGAAAACATATTTTATGGCTTTAGCATTTCCAAGCGTGTATACATTTTTATTTCTAGGAGTATTTCTTTCTTGAAGCTTTGATTAATGCGTTCCCTGGGGTTGCTTTAAATTTCTATCTCCCCTTTTGCTTATTAGAAGTCGAAATTCCAGGGAATCGCGGCTGCTATGAGCGCCTTAATGAAGGCGGACTCATGTGGAAAATTCTACATTCTCGATACACTAAAGACAAAGGAGCGGTTGTATCGGCCAGTTATGGATGTCCGAAGTTCGACACGGTTAGGATGGAAGGCCGAAGTTGAGCGGGTCTATCTGGCAGGCACAACGCGCGACGGCATCGTGAAGGATATCTCTGAGGAGCAAAGTCCGTGACATAGCGGTAAAAGAACGCCAGATAGGAGGCGACCCGACGGTGTGAAAGGGTCCCGAGTTGTATGTTAGAGAAGTGACGGCGATCGAAATAATGTTGTAGAGGCGGCTTTAAACGTCAAAAATGTCGATTCTATATTTATTGTATATCGCAAAATGCAAAGCGAAATATTAGCCAAAAATTAAAGTAAAAGCAATGCATTTTTTTGTTGTTTATATGACTATGATATTTGAAATAAAGTTTTTTCTGTGACACTCTTGAAAAATTTGAAAAAAGAAATCTAAAGATTTCGAAGATTTGGAGAACTTCGAAGGACTTGAAAATTTTAGGAAATATGTTTATTTCGAACCTCGAATTTCACAGATACAAGGGATGTCTTTTAAGTTTTGCATGTAGAAACATAGTAGGCCGCGCGGATCGAACGTCAGTACTGAATCTTAACCTCACTCTTTAGTAAATTTAAATTCAAAGTTTGACAATAATACGTGCAGTGTTCTCACTACAGTGAATTTTTAAATGTCACCAAGTCATTAGAAAAATGGAACTCAACCGAGAACATTTTCGCGCCATAATTTCTTACAACTTTCAGAGACAATTATCCCCTTGCTGAGTTACTGTCTGTTTTCGGCAACGAAGCGCCACATCACTCGACAATTTGGGGGGGTGCACCAACAACGGCAGTCACCGAGGAAAACTTCGATGCTGTGCGCAAACTCATCATTGAATATAGACATGTGACATATCGCGAGATTGAAGCGTCCTTGAAGATCTCAAAGACCTCAATTCAAAAAATTTTACATGAAGAATTAGGAGTAAGAAAATTAGTTTCTCGTTGGATACCCCGCCTGTTGACTGAAGAGCAGAAAGCAGCCAGGGTTAATTGGTGTCAAAAAACGCTTCAATTCCGGAAACTCAAAAAATGTATACAGCATTGTTAGTGGTGATGAATCGTGGATTTACTGTTATGGGTGTTCCAAGGTGAAAAAAAGCCAACAAAAGTCATCCGTTCTCGAAGTGTTTCGAAAAAGATGGTCGCGACATTTGTTTCAAAAGCGGGTCATATTGCAACAATTCCTCTTAATGAGCAAAGAACTGTTACTGCGGATTGGTATACCACCATTTGTTTGCCAAAAGTCATCACCGAGCTTCGAAAAATCAACCCCGAAAGAAGAATCATCCTCCACCAAGACAATGCATGCTCGCACACAGCCCAAAAAACAAGGCAGTTTTTAACGGAAAAAAACGTGGAATTATTGGACCATCCTCCATATAGTCCCGATCTAACTCCTAACGATTTCTTCACTTTCCCGAAAATCAAAAACAGGCTGCGTGGTCAAAGGTTCCAGTCACCAGAAGAAGCAGTTGACGCATTCAAAAATGCCGTTTTGGATCTGCCAGCATACGAGCTTCGAAAATTGGTTTGAGCGCATGCAGATGTGTATTAATCTTCGTGGAGAATCCTTCGAAAAACAATAAAGTCATTTAAAACTACCTACCGTGTTGTTTTATTTCCATACGCAAAACTTAAAAGACATCCCTCGTATTAGAACAAAATTCCTACAATTTATATTAAAATTCTGAGAATTTCGGAAATATTGACAATGTGTAACAGTTTGCGAATTTTTAAATTATTCAAATATCTAGGAAGTTCTTGATTTGATTATTACAAAAATTTTGAGTACTCTGAGAAGTTCCAAGTTTTAAAAATATTACGAAAATCCTGAAAAATTCTGAGCATGAATATTCTTAAACCTCCGATATGAAAACTCACACCACGATATGCTAGAGAAGTTATTTATTCCAAATGCAGCTTCCGACTCGAGCAGCAAAAGTTTGTTGAACTCAAATCACAAATGCCGCAATTAACATATTGCCGCAGATTGCCTCCTTCATACCACGAATTCGAATTTATATTCAACGCAAGCGACCTGCAGTGTATTTTATCAAGCAGGCGCTGGCCGTCAATGCACACTCTAGATTTATTTATACTCGTCCAGGCGCCCCGGGCAGCAGATCCCTGTACGCGGAAGGGAAAATTTGTGGCTTGACGTTCGGAAACGGATTGAGGCTATTTATATAATTTAGACTGATTTCCTCATTAGTCTTAAGCTGATTTTGCGACCTAGAGATGGCTCAGAAGTTTAAAAAAACGTTATTTCATGTTTAATAGGAATAGCGTTGGTGGTTGGGAATACCATTATACAGGGTGTTCCTTAATGATATGCGAATATTTAAGGGTGTAAATCTACATGAAAAATTAATGTTAGTTTGCTCGATAAACTATGGTTCAAAAAAGTTTCCTTACAGAAACTCGGGGTGTTGAAGTTTTAGGAAAAAAATGGAAATTAATTAAGATTTTTGGAACCGTTTCAGATATTTCACTGATATTTAGTAAGTAGTGGAAGTTTATAAAGTTGCATATTTTTCAATGCAAAAATAATTTTTAGCTGTAACAGTGGTGTGCGTACGGGTATTGACTTCGATATTTGTTGAGAAAAAAATGGTACGCCAATGGTTTCTGCCAAATAAAAATTATTTTTGAATTCCCCGTTCAATTCAAAACAAATGATCTCTCTTGAATTGCTTTCCTTCGATGCGTCATTTTTGAGCAAAAAAATAAAAACCATCCTATTGTCCGAGAAAATTAATGTAATAATTGAAGAATGCAATCTAGCAATAAATATCTAGTTGCTCTGGAATATGTAACTGGCTTTTGACATCTGACAAGTCTGTTATCCAAATCTGTTCGCTGTGACATCTTTTTCATTATTTAGTTTTTCTAATATCCATCGTCGTCTTGTTCAAACTGGTTCTGTCCGAAAAGGAACATTTGAAGGTAGACCTCTAAGTGTGAGAACACCTGAAATTTAGGAAGCAGTGCTGCACGAAGTCGAAAACCATCCTAAACACTTTAATATTTGCCATCAAATCGTTTGGAGAATTTTAGTGGATTGTTTGTTATATCCTTACCATATTTTAAGGGTACAGGCATAACTTCCCATTGATTTTCCAAGGCGTGTGACCTAAGGGCAGGAATGATTGGCAACCACTTTATTGGCCCATTCTTCTTGCCGGACGACTTGACTGACAGACTTACCCCAATTTCCTTCAAAACAGTTGCCCTTGCTGCTTGATGATGTTCTGTTAAAAATAAGAAGCAATATGTGGTACATGCATGATGGTGCACCAGCTCATTTCAGTGTAGAGGTTCGTAATTATTTGTAAACTGTTTATCCAAATCGTTGGATTGGCCGCGGTGGGCCCCAAGAGTGGCCACCAAGGTCGCCAGACCTCAACAGTTTAGATTTCTCTTTGTGGGGCTCTTAAGACACTAGTGTACACAAGTCCCATTAACACTGTACAGGAATTAAGAGAAAGAATATTTGCAGCTTGTGATAGAATAAGAAACACTCCAGGGATATTTCAACGAGTGCACAATTCCATTAGAAGGAGGGCGGAAACATACATACTAAGTGAAGGGGGCCATTTTCAACAATTTTTGTAATCATTTCGTTGGTTTTAATGTTATGTTTATATTCTCAGTTGTTGTTGTTCATTACCCCTAATGTGTTTAATTTTTGCAATCAAATTAATAATAATTTTGCAAGTTAGACAATAGAACGGTTTTTATTTTTTTACTCAAAAATGCGCATCGAAGGAAAGTAATTCAAGATAGATCATTTGATTTAAATTAAACGGGGAATTCAAAAATATACAAATTTAAGTTTGGAATGCCACTTTATGAATAAACTCAAATTATGTTGTTGTAAGTATAAAACACTATATTGACAAGTGATATTAAATTCAAACTTGTAAATTTATTGATCCTTACACATTTGGATTGTGGTGTCATAGTTTATTATAACAGGGGAAGTAAAACAGAAAATTCACTTTTTACAGAATCGATTTACATATAAAGTTTTAGAGAAGAGATCCTCTGTTGCCCATGTTTTTCAAAAAACGATGATTGTGATAAACTTCCATCCCATAAAAAATCTAAATTAATTACATTAGAAAAAGCTTCCACTGACACAGCACCTCGTTTGTTGAATAATTATTTGGATCTTTTCCAAATTACTTCCAGTCATAACTTTAAAATGAACTTAAGAGGGTGCTTCTCCAGTTACAGGCATTCGGGACAATGACAACTTTTATGTGCCATTATGCGCTCTCGATCCCGATTTATACTACCATGACTGGCGCTTATGCGACAATTGAGTATTGTGGTTCAGCACCGTTGCCAGGTGGTCGATACTTAGGACAGGTAAAAAACTAGCAATAACATTATTTAATGGATGGGGGCTATGGAGTAGGGACAAATTGTATCGGCCTGTTTGGCTGACTTGATCCGTTTAATTTAACTTGTGTCGAACGTAATCATTTATGACTCCATTTCTTGTGTTATGCTACTGTCTCACAGGTGACGCTAGTATCTCTCAGATCCCTTTTTGGACGCCGAAATACAGTATACGGTTGACTGTCTTCTGAATCTCCGTTAATTAATGTTCTAACACAATAAAGCTGGTCTAATTCGGTAGCCACACGTAGGCATACACGGATACAGTCATCCTAGTTACGCAAGAGGAAGAGCTGGAATGCATTGTTGGTCTATTTCCGATATGCCCTATTATTAAATCGGGATATATGAGTGCATAGACACGTAAATTGTACCTACTGCCTGCCTACCCACAATGATGAATACATACGGATATGAGGATGATTTACAGGGCGTCATTACCAATCGTTGTTATACAGGGTGTAAACGTTATGATAGTCATTATTGAAATGGGTAATAGGGGGTGTCAAAACAAGTCAAAAAATTCATATGACCCATGGTCCAAAAGTCAATAGATTTTTGTCTAAATGGATTTATAGTTTACAACTTTATTTCGACCACAGTCACCACAATCCTCCTATATTTTATAATCTAATCTAAAACGTTTTTAAATTGGGTAATTAACAAATGAATGGCAGCAAGTTCCTCTAAGTTGAGCCTAAATTTGTAGTCAGTAAGTAAATTTCATTAAATTGAATATTTAAAACACACATGACAACAGCGCGTCGTCATCACTCTTATCGAACCGGCAATCGATCGCGCGTGTTTTTTTGTTTGTTTTTGTTCGCGTACGTCGTCGTGTTTGTTTACGAATTAAGAGTTTGCCGATATGTTGTTAGTTTAAAAGGGATGGTTTATGGGGCTGGTCCAACAACAACTGAAGCACAACTTCGCGAAATAGAATTTAATGCTGCTGAAATAATAAGGAGCTAGAATAAGAAGAAACTGGGTTCATCGTAATGAAGCTTGTGTGGAAAGTGGAGGACGACATTTTGAACACCTTCCTTAAATACAAAAAAGTGCAATGTGGGTTTTAAAAAGAAAAACAGTGTATGTATCAAAAATGTGTTTCCTGTTTATAAATGGATTTTTTTAATACGTTCAATAAACTTTCACACACCAGGTGAAGCGCTGAGACAGTTAGTGGTAAGTCCGTTCTTTTTTAATTGTTTGCATTTTGCGAGTACATTATCAAATAATGAAATAATACTTAAGAACCAAAAATAACAAACTAAATCTTTATTTACAGTGCGTTCCGTCATAATTTGCGTCTGGCATTGCGGCGTTTTCAGATTTATTTTACTTAAAAGTCGCTGTTCTCTAAAAAATGCCGTTTTGACAGCCATATTATATGAAACTTTTTCCTTCTTTTAAGTTATTTTCTGGTTACTGGTTAGTTTTACTTCTTTTTTCTATGTCAAGCCATCTTTAGACAGTATGCCAATAATGTTAATAACAATAATAAAAATTTATTGGTTATCTTAGACAGAAATGTGTTTGCAGAGGTCACCTAAAGTAGAACATAAACGGCTAAGTAAAAACAACAAACAATACGCAAAAATGACAGACATAAAACACACAGTGGCAATAAAAGGTAAAAAGGTAAATCAAACCAAAGTTACGATTTAGATGAACAATAAATAAAGATGGTTAAAACATTATAAAAGAGACTAATTACAGCAAAAATTATGCCATGAAAAAATTGAAGTTAAGGCAGTCTTCGACGTCAAAAAAAGCTTCGAATGGTAGGAAGCATTTCAAAGTTTTCCAAATTATTCAACACTGAGAGCTTCTATTTCATTTGTTGTAGAATTTTAACCATTTCTAGTCTTGGAAAGGCGATGACGCTTTGGACACAAATGTTCTTTGTTTGTGGTATTGTAATTATGAGTATCTTGATGAGTTGTGTAATTGTAAGCAGTGAGTTTTAACATGCATTTAACACATCTTCTCTGTAAGCTAAACAATCTAGGCATGTATGGAGAGTGGTAACTCAATATTTAGAGTATATTGTTAGCAGCATAGCTGGTACATGCAAACATTGTCTGGCCAGGTACTACACAAATGGTGTAGAAATAGGGTAACTTTGTCCTCTACATAAGAAAAAATGACATTGCTTGTTACGTTAATGACTTTTTTA